CTACCACACAATGATTCAAAAGTACATTTAATATATATATATATATATATATATATATATATATATATATATATTCACATATATACTGTATATGTATTATTAGTATGATTATGAAATAATGAGCAAAACTATGGCAATTTCAAGCATCCTGCATATTATGTTTCTCTTATTTATCCCTCTTTTTCTGTATCACCCTCCTCCCTTCCCATTTAAAATCCTTCCTCTAGTTTTTTTTCTTTTCCCCTTCATAGCACCTATGCCCTACTAGCCCAATAAATATCTGCAACAAATGCTGGTGAGGAGGAAAATGTAGAAAGATATCAAAGACTATCCTTCTTCCTTTGACTACTCTACTAACCTTCCTCTCTTTTGTGTAGTGAACAGTTATGTGGCATGCTCTTTCACACAGATCATGAGGGGCAACATCTGACACAAAATATTAATATCAATACATTTATTACATGAAATTGGTAGAAACCCACATGCTATGATTACAAAGTGATTTTCCTTTTGCAGGTAAGTCTTATTAGAGCCTGCTTTATGTCTCTGTTTCTCAGGCTATAGATGAAGGGGTTCAGCATGGGAGTCACCACTGTGAACATCATAGCCATGGTAGTCTCTTTCACAGTAGAGTTATTATCTGATGGAGAGAAGTAGAGACCAAAAATTGTCCCATAGAACAGAGACACCACAGACAGGTGGGAACCACAGGTAGAGAAGACCTTGTGGATTCCCCGAGTAGAAGATACTTTGAGAATAGAGGAGACAATCCTTGCATAGGATATAACAATGAGTAGGAATGGTACAATAATGATAGGCCCTCCTGTGATAAATATCATCAACTCATTAACATACGTGTCTGAGCAGGCCAGCTTCAGAAGAGCAGATATGTCACAGAAAAAGTGGGGAATCACGTTGTCGTCACAAAAAGACAATCTAGCCACAAGCATGGTGTGCATCATGGCATCCAATAGGGTTAGCATCCACAATGGCATCAATAGACAAGCACAGAACTTGGGGTTCATGATACTGGTGTAATGAAGGGGGAAGCAGATGGCCACATAGCGGTCATAGGCCATGACCACAAGAAGCAAGCTCTCCATATCTCCAAAAGCCATTAAAAAGTACATTTGTGTCAGACAATCCACATAGGAGATGAATGTGTCCCGGCTCTGCATGTTCTGCAGCAATTTGGGCATTGTGACAGAGGAGAAGCAGAGATCAGAGAAGGACAAGTTGCTGAGAAATAAGTACATGGGTGTGTGGAGATGGGAGCCCAGTCGAATGAGGATGATGATGAGCAGGTTCCCCAGGACAGTGGTGAGGTACATGGCCAGGAACAGGGTAAAGAACATGTTCTGGTGCTCTGGTGGGATGGGCATGCCCAGGAGGAGGAACTGGGAGATGACAGTTTGATTGTTTCCCATCATGATCTGCCTACAATGACTTTAAGAGAAATAATTAACAGTGTTGTAACCACCCAAATGGTGGAACATGTTTGGGTTCATAGACTAATTCTAGTTTTTTCTCATTTCTTTAGAAAACAATTTTGTTTTTATATTATTTGATTTTTATAATTTCGCTTCAAGCTATATAATAACTTTGATAGCTTAACTCCTTCAGTTGTCCTTGGTAAGAGATGGCGTGCAAACCCAGTCCTTTGTACTCTGTTGAAATCCACCCAATCCATCTCCATGACATAATAAAAACAGATATTTCTGTCACACATGGCATGCTGCAAGTTCTAGAGTAGTTATTCTCATCTAAATGATTGTAATCTCTACATCCAAGTATGTTGAGTCATTATAGCGCTGAGTGGCTTTTCTTAACATTGTCTAATAGTCTGGTATTGCCTAATGACTCTTGATTGCTTTTGATACACAAGATATATTGACCTATCTACTTCCAGCTTGCCTACTTATTCTAGGCAACTGCAGTTCACCCCATTCTCTAGTTTTATTTTGTGAATTTTCTTGCAGGATTTTTATACACACAATCCTCTTAATTCTGTATATGCTCCAAAATACACGCAAATACTTTAATGTCCTAGAGTACCATTTAAAAGTCATATGTAAAAGTCTCTTTTACCTACAGAATTCACCTCATTGCTGACTAATAATCTTCCTTGGTTTTTTTTTTTTTTTAGAGTTATCGAAGGCTCAATGCATGCCAAGAGAAATTCACTAGTCTCTCTTCCAACATCTTTTTCCCATGTCTCCTGTTTCTCATAATGTAATAAAAGGAATTGAATATCCATTATATGAATTTTTGCATTTTTCTTATCTTAAACTCTAATCTATCACCTCATATAGATTCTCATCTTAATCTTCATCTTATCTAGGCATTTAAAACTATCCAATCATATTCTCAGAATTGGAAGTCACCATTTCTTGTCTGAAATATTGAAGTCAGCATTCAATTTTAATCCATGCCCCATATCTCAACACTATTCTCTTCAGTATGTTTAACCCACACAGGCATTCTGAGATGGAAATACAATCTTCTTTCCTGGATCATTCTTCAGATGAGCATCTTGTTCTTAATGACAAAATTCCTTTCAAGTGCACAATCAATACTTTCTTACCTGACCTGTACCAACCTTTACAGCACAGTATGGCCTCACCC